CCTGCTCCTTGTACAGTAAACAATGTGCAGTATTTGTGGAATACAAGGCGAGGAGTAGACACTAATAAGCGTCGAGATTATCGTGAAAGACGGCAGGTGGTTTCTTTTCAATTTTTTTTAAATACCTTTCTTATTTTTTAAAAGATTATATTTAGAGAATATAAGTTAATTTTAAAGATGAACTTAATATATCGACCTATATATATTTGTTGAAAAAGTATACTGATCTAATCGAACACACACCCTTTCCTGTAAATCCTTTGACTAGTATCTCGTAACACTGGCATAAATTAACTTATCCACTTTTCAAAACCCGATAATTATGCAAAGAAAATTTTTGAAATAATAATAAATAGTTTGATAATAACCTCCGCTGACATGATAAAATATATAACAACCAATTTGTAATCACTTTTTAAAAGTAAAATTTAGTCTTCTAAGTTTTGATACACTGAAAGTTTGCCTTGGGTGTAAGTATATTAACTTTTAATTTTTTTAAATCATGATTTAAAAAAGATATGTTACTATTTTTCATTTTGATGATATTATCAATCATATGTGTAGAACACATATCGATCCTAACATTGCGTTATATTCGCCTACATAAAATTAAATTTAGCTATAAGTAGGTCACTTTGATATTAATAGACGCTCAGACTAGTGACACAGTATCCGCTGATTTTGGGGCCATCATAACCCCTTTTCCCATCAGGAAGGTACGGGAAAGGTATAGCTGCAGAACTGTAGCTCTCTGCTTGAGAAAATTCGGATAGATAAAGCAGAGAGCTTTAATTGTAAAAACCTTCGAAGATTTACGCCGACGATTTTTTGTCGCTACTTTAGGTATTTATTTCGTGTAGTTTAAGCTTTCTCTGGCTTTTAGGATGGTATCATATAATAATTCATATATTTAAGTCATGTATTTGATACTTATTTACCTTTTAATGGTCCAAAACAGTCCTGTATTTAGTTTTGTAATGTCAGTTTAAAAAGTTTTATCTTTCGACGTCCGTAACCACAAACAGCCATTTGTTAGCGTTTAGAGGTAAGTTAATTATCAGAAATTGAAGTTTAATGTATCATGAATTAAATACCATTTATAATAAATTCCAAAGCTGAAGAAAGTATAAAATACAAGAAAAAATACTGTACTGAGCGACAAAAAATAGTCGGCGTAAATCGAAGGTTTTTACAACGCTTTGATCTGTAGCTCTCTGCTTGGCACGGTGTATTGACCTGATGAGTGTAATGACCTGATTGACCTGATGAGATATAAAATGCTATTTACTTAATATACAAACAGAATTTGGAAAAGATCTTTTTCAAAATTGTTAATATTAATATAATATATAATCTGGTCACAAAATTTTGTAATTCAGGGTGTTATATGAGATTTATTTGATGTTTAACCCATTTGAAAGAGTGTAAAGACCTGATATCTAGTGAATTGACCTGATGGAACGTTTTCCCCTATAATTTACAAATGTTGTGGTATTGAATTAATATACGTTTCAGTCAATTATTTTCTTGAAGTATAAAGTATTAAATTTTATAAATTGGATTTTTCAAAAAGGTTTTTTAAGTAACTTTCCCCGTTCAACGTGTAATGACCTGATAAAGAATGACCTGATGGATTTATCCTAAGTAAATTATCTTGCATATAATTGCTTTCTTTATTTTGAATTTGACTTGTATGTGTAATTTAGTTTTAGAAGACTAATATGTAATTATTGTTTATGAATTACTGAAATCTTTTAGCATTTTCTGAAAATATTGACTTTGACGTGACTTGATAATTTTAATTTCTTTGACCTGAAATTTCTCTTCTGAAAACTTATACATTCCTCCTCTGAAAACTTATACTTTTGAATGAATTGATATACTTCGTTAATCATTTTTGTCTAACACAAAATCTTGAAAGAATAAGTTGTACATCGAATGAACATGTAATGAACGTATATAAATTAAACAAAGTTGTTTGTGCTAATTTTTGATTTTTTTTTCCCTCAAGACTTAAAGTCATTTGTGCAGCAATTTATTTGAGAACCACCTGAGTTCTAAGTTATTAGAACTTGTGTTGAAACTTTAAGTGTAATCTTTATTGCAATAAAGGACGTTTGTTAAAATCAATAATTTAATTTACAATGACCTGATATTTTTTGGAAATATTTTTCTAAAATTAAATATTTGAATGATCGACACGATGGATCTAATGACCTGATAAATCTTGTATGGATAGCATGATCTCAAGAAATTTAACATATTTACATGCTTGTTAGATGATTAAAATAGAGTTTTCATACATTCATGCATTTAACTTTTTTCAAAAAAATAAAATAAATATTTAACTGCATATTTACTGTATATATAGAGCAAGTGTGTAAATGTTTATTATTTATAATGGCATATAGGAAAATTAATTCAATTAACAATTCAGATATGACCTTATTCATATCGAATTCTACTGTTTAAAGAATGTATAGATAATTAGCCAATGGATTTCAAATAAGAATTTAATAGAAGTATATAAAAAACACATTATAATTAAAAGTAAAAATTTTGTAATCTTCCACATACAATGTATAATATTTATTTTTTGTTGTGTTTTCAATTCATTTAAAGACTTATAAATTAAATGTCTTTTTTTTTAAACCCTTGCATGTTTTTTATTTAATTTATTTTTATTTTAAGTGACCTTTTCTCAGAGAATTGAAAAATTATAATGTCAAAGAGACACTGCCCCCTTGTTTGTACATGTGTATACCCCCCTACCCAATTAATCCCCTGGATATGGCTTCTGTATGTCACCTGTGTAATCCCAGTCAACATGGTAAACCAAGACTCGTGTGAATTGATAAACAAACACAAAACACATTTAACTTTGTTATTATGTACATACATGTGCAAAATACAGAAAATGTAAGATACATACATTTTATTTAAAAAATACTTTATAACAAATTTCTCGTACTTAAAACAAAACGACTTTCATTTTTAAACATTGACATTTTTGGGGGCAAAAAAGAAGACTCAAATATATTTCAGTAATGTAAAAAAAATTAAAGCATGTAATTTACAAGGACAAATAATTAAGACTTCTTTTTAAAAATTGTTATTATGTACATACATGTGCAAAATACAGAAAATGTAAGATACATACATTTTATTTAAAAAATACTTTATAACAAATTTCTCGTACTTAAAACAAAACGACTTTCATTTTTAAACATTGACATTTTTGGGGGCAAAAAAGAAGACTCAAATATATTTCAGTAATGTAAAAAAAATTAAAGCATGTAATTTACAAGGACAAATAATTAAGACTTCTTTTTAAAAACTGTATCTTAGGCAGAAATTGCTATTTTCTTAGATTTATTTAGATTATTTTAATGATATGTGTTAATCGCTTTTCATTTTAAGTCATATATGGCGTATTTTTGATATGTTCAGACTAACTAAAATAAAAGTTAAAAAGATCTTTCTATTTAGTTCGATACTTTATAAAAAGATAGGACTTTCCTGTATATAATACAATTTAAATCAATAACGTTTCATAGATATTCGACATATAAAAGTGTAGTAGCTTTTTTCTAACTTGGAATGAAATATCAGATACAGAAAAAAGCTACTTTTAACTATAGAAACGTAAGGCTTTTCAAGTTCTAAATCGGTGAAAAATTTAGTTTGAAAATAAATAGCAAATATCATGTAATTACTTTTAATCTCGTATTTCATTTTTTTAAAGCTCAGATCAATACGCCATGTAATTCAATCTATTGTTTTTTCTATGTGAATTAAGCATTTTATTTATTTATTTATTCAATTTGACAAAAACCACCTGTGGCGCAAGTCATACATTATACGCGTATACAGTAAACAGATTTTAAGATGTAAAGAGAAACTATAGTAATTAAGTTATAAAAATAAATTCTAAACAAGAAAAAGAACTCATAAAAAGACTTCATAATATTTTTTTATGATAATATAATTCCTTATTGTTTGCATCTTACACTGTCCCATGTGCACATAAAAAAAATCTCAACCGATGAATTAATGAAAAAAAATATATATATATTTGAAAAAATTCTATACAAGAAGGATTGAACTGTATATTTTATGAAATCATTAAATCAATAAAAACTGATTGAAAAAATAATTATTATGACCAGGTATATATCTTTTGATCCGCAAATAACATTATCTTGTCAATGTAAATCAGGTCATTCCATATCAGGTCATTACACCGTAGCAAAATTGAAATGAATATAACAGTTTGTGAAAACAAAATATAAGCAATTTTTATGTTTTTACTGAAACATTATACAAATTGTAACCAAAATTTAGGAAGAAAAAAGTTTTTAAAAGGATATATATTTAATAAAACAACATAAACGTTCATCAGGTCATTACACTAAATATCAGGTCATTACACTGAATTGTTCGGAATAATCTCCCATTCATGCAAATAAATGACTTATAAAATTTTATTTTTTGGTTTTAAAATAGGAAATGACATAATATTTAAAATTAGATAATAAAAGTTTATTTTATTTGGTATTTTATCATTTATTTTTTGAAATTATGTTCATCAGGTCAATCAGGTCATTACACTCATCAGGTCTTTACACTGTGCCTCTCTGCTTTATCTGTCCGAATTTTCTCAAGCAGAGAGCTACAGTTCTGCAGCTAGGAAAGGTATTGTAGGTTGAGGAATTAGAAAAGTTTAATTTAGAAGAATTTCAAAATCTTGTGGTGCATTTTTAACACAAAACCAATAATTTAAGATTATTTTTTTTTCATAATACCTCATCATAAAAGAGTATTTTGAATATTTTTTTAAAATTTGAACTGCAGTACATCTTAATCTTTCATGCACCTTTTTGAAACATCAATAACCCCATTTACGAAAAGTTTTGTCGTTGTGTTTTAACAAAACACGAACCACCTGAACCAGTTTTCGACTTATTTGTTGTACAACTTACTCTGATTACAAAGGAAGAAGTACCCGGATGTTTCTATTAGCAACCTAGCAAACGAAAATGGCGGAGTCACCAGCGACAATAGATGATGATAAAGATGTTGATGTCGATCCTCTGAATGATTTTTCAGACGAGCAACTATACCATCATGTAGAGGAAACTATGTAAATATATGATTTTTATAAAAATTCCGATTCATGCAATTATATCTTGAGTATGCTTGATTGCAAGATTGGTGTATGGTAGGCTTAATGTTATCGGTGAATATTTACAGTCATCCGTTACGAATGTTATATTTTACATGTTCATTTAGATGGCAACTTATATGAAAGAATTTTATTTGTTTAAGTTACCGTGTACGATTTTCCTTGTTATCTCTGATTGATGGTATGACCATTGAGATCAGATATAGAGTTGAGTTACAGGAACCTGCTATTGGCCAGGTCTAGGAAAATAGCTAAATCTACCTATATAGCTAAATCTACCCATATAGCAGAGCTCCAGATAATGTTTTACCCCAAAGTGTATTTCCTCCCTGATTTTCAAATCAATGCCAATTTTGATTTTCAGCAAAATGAATGAAGAGTATTTTGTTTATATATATTATATATATAAAATGTTTTGACCTTTATTTTGATTTTGAGCTTGTAATCGAAGTATGTGTTTTTGAAGAGGGAAAAAACTTTAAAGGTTGGTTCCTGCATTTATTCAAATAAATTTTGCAAATACCAACAAGACTTTTTGCTAAGATTGGGAAGCATTCTTTTGTGACAAAGGAAGATGATACAGTATGTTAAGGTACCATAGAGTCAGAGAACTTTTCCTTCATTTAAGATATCATATCAAGAGTAAACTGAGAGAAAAGAATCTTCGTTAATATTGCAAGTTGAGAGAGATGAAAAATTGGCTATGAACCCATAATAACAAAAAAAGTGACAAGTGCATAGTCTTTCTACATAGAAATTGCTTTTAATCTAAATCTCTGATTCTTCCTTCGAAATGGAGATCGTCAGATCGTCGTCATCATTACTAGAATATTTCTGGTCACTAAAAGGCTTTTAAATCTGTTCTTCATTTTGAGAAAAATCAAACACTGAGTTAACCTCAATTCGTATCATAAAGTAAGTCGTACCTGTATTCTTCAACTTGTACGCAGTACTTTCGTGGTGTAATGCATATCTATGATTGCTAATGCGTAATTGTATGCTCTATTTCAATTTTCAATGCGTATTTTGTAAAATTTAATGCGTATTTCTGCAAATACGCACCTTATCTGGAGCTCTGCATATAGACCAATCCACACTTTACAAAAGTTGTGTCCCTTTGCGGGGTCAACCAAAAGGTCAAAAGGGAAAGAAACAACATTCATCCTCTTTATGCTACCAAACATTTGGGCGGGCTGTGATGAATCCACTGTGTTTAAATTCTTTTCTTTAGATGCGTAGGTAGCCCCAACATGGGGTAATCAGTATACACTATGCAACGGTTTTCCCAAACCGAATGACAAAGTTATAAACCTGAAAACTACAAAGGCTTCTGTGGGGATTCTATGGGTTTATCCCCTAAGATGGCGGCCAAGGGACATAACTTTGAAAAGTGTGGATTCAACTATAACTCTATTTACCTATATAATATAGCTTTATTTAGCTTTCTGTTTTATGAAAAGCAGACAAAAAGTGGCATAATGATAATGAGGCAGTATTAGTTTTCAACTTTGAAATGGACTGAAAACAATTCACCAAAAACCCACATTAAAAAATGTTCCTCCTTTTGTGCAATTGCAATCAAAGATTAAAAAGTTTTGGGGCTATGTATAACAGTTAATCTGTGATTATAAGCAGCTACTTCAACTAAGAAAAGCAGTTTTGGTGAACAAGATAATTGATTGGTAATAATTCAGCACAATGCAAGGCAATCACACTTAGTCAATCCTCAATTCCTCATCACACTTCCAGTGATGGACAGCTATCCAAACAATAGAGATGCATTTTTGAGTTAAAAAGTGTTTAAATGAGGCAATGTTTTTACTATCTATGCCCTAGGTTGTTTTTATCAAACCTTTTTTAAAAAATATCAGCCATAATTTTTATGCAACTTTTTGTCTGCTTTTCATAAAACAGAAACTTATTCTGAAATAGCTAAATAAAGCTATATCATATAGGTAAATAAAGCTATATAGGTAAATTAAGCTATACAGCTAAATATAGTTATTTTCCTGGACCTGTTGGTGTGTAAGAATTAATCATTTTAAAAAATTATATGCTTAATACAAAAACAACACAAGGGAGGATGCCATTTAGGACCCCCTTCTCGCTTCAACCTCTGTGTTATACTTTCCTGTATTTTGTCCACTCAACACCCCGGATCTCTCAAGTTATGATTAAGATATAATGCTTGAATTATCCCCTTGAAGCCTCTACAATACACATTTCAGGCTAAAAACAATCCAAATGCACTCTTTAGGACAGTTGTCAAGGACAGAAAGTGGAAATACAGGAAATCTCAGAGTTTTCTTTTAAACAAAATATAAAAATGTAAAAAAAACCTGTCTTCATTTTTATATAAGAATGTACAATGCCAAGGTTAATTTTGCTTTTGCAAAAATTTTTGAAGAGATGTTGAATTGAGAATAGACATCACTAATTAACCACTCTAAAAAATTTGGAAGGGTATTGTAATTTTTTTTTCTGTCTATTTACAGGAAAGAAAATGAGGTTTTACAAACAGAGACTCAAATGTTTGAGAAATATCTCAAAAGAAATGAGCCAAAAGACACCCTGGGGCTCCCTAGTCCTGGCATGCCCAGTGGGGTAACACCATCAGGTTCACAGCAGGAAGTGGGGAGGGGCGTTGGTAGAAAGAGGTCAAAATCTCGAACCAGCAACATCAACACATCTCTCAGACTTACAACAGAACAAAAATGTGACATTGCACAGAAAGAAATTGATGATCTCAAAGATGAGATTGAACAGCTTAAAGAAAACTGTGAGAAAGTTCTTGATACATATAAGGTAATTTTATGGTACTTGATAAAAAATTGGTATTAATTTGTTTAAAAAAAAAAAACAAAGATTTTTAAATAACAGTGTCCCACAATTTATAGAAATGACTATGCTATTAAATTTTGGAAATATTATTTTTGATTGTGCTGAAATTTTTGCAGGCCATTATGGAAGAGGCTGATCTTCGGTTGGCAGAGACGAAAAAAGAAAGTTATGAATTTGAAAGAGATATAGTAAAAGGTGCTATGAATCCCCGAACTGGAAAAGTTATAGCTGAGAAGGTCATCAGATATCTGGATGAGAAAAACAGATCCAGGGTAATTAGAGGGATGATTCATTCAATTTCTCTGGATTATTATAACTGTTGGATGATGAATCAATAATGTCTTCATTTTCAATGTTATTTGGTTTCTAAAATTTTCTATTTGACAATTGTAATGCAGACAGTTAAATTTTATTCATAGGACACACTGATTGAAAAGCTTCGTCTGAAAAATTCTACGTTAAAAGTCCAGAAAAAGAAACTAGATTTACAGCTAAAACAGGTATGACATTTTTTTTCCTTGTTTTTCTTGGACAAAAAAAAATTTTGGTTGGTTAAAAGTTCACATATTGCAAGAGAGAAAAATATACAGTATAAATGCATCATTTGAGCAAAAAAAAAAAATCCATTAAATTATTTAAAATAAATAACTATTAAGTTGCTTTTCATAATATAGAAAGAAGAAATGGGTGAAGTCTTACACAAGGTGGACTTTGATCAGTTGGAGATTGAGAATAAACAGTATTTAGAGAAAATAGATCAGAGGAACACAGATTTACTGGCCCTGAAGTTAATGTCAACCAGAACAAATGGTGTTCTTATCAAATACAAGGTAAAAAAAAAAGTATAGCAAGATTGTCTCCCTTTGACATGACTTGGGAGATAATTAAGACCATTATAATCATTTGATTTTTTGAGTACCTGGCATATAGTAATTGGATATGTATTTTTAACTGAAGGAACGAATATATTAATAGTATGTTTCATCTTCCTCTGTATGCTTATTTGAATTCAAAATATTACTGTATAAATGTGCATGGAGAAGATTGATGTTTGTTTTAAGTATTTTCTGTTTTTATTTAAATTTCCACTCTTTATAAAAAATAAACTCTTTTTATTTCACAGAAAAAATTACACACATTAACTAAAGAGTCAGAAAGGCTGAAGTCAGAAATCGGGTCCAGGAACGATCTGCTCTCAAGGATTGACTCCGAAACTGAAGTTGTGGAACAGGTCTGTATTAAAGTGACAGTATGGAGCAATTAAAAAAGAAATATTCATAGAAGTACAGGTATTACATACACATCTATGGGAAGAAAGATATTTATTATTAAGGGAAACAACTCTGTACACAAGTAAATATTAAATTGAGGTAGAAAGAGAAAATGCAGTTATTAAGGGCATCAACTCTGTCATATCATGGGAATTTAAATTTAAATGGCTTCAAAGCCATAAAGCAAAGAGCACCTCACTTTTTGACCTCGGTTTCACTTTAGCAAAAGGAATTCATTGTGGGAATCAAAAGAGAGCTCCTTTTACGGTGAAAGAGCCTGGTAATCCATAGCATATTAAAATTTACAATTTTTCATGATTGATTAAAGGAAAGAGCAAAGGCCGAGAAGATAAACAGGAAGCTCCGCCAACAGTTAACAGATTTCCGAGTCCCAGAAGTGATGGAGTATGTAACAGAAAAGGCTGACTTGTATGAACTGCAGAAAAAAGTCAAGAGTTGGGAAAGAAAAGTAGAAATTGCTGAGGTAATTGATATCTGTTAACTTTCTATGTAGTCATAACTTCATCTGAAAAGAAAATTCCTGCTATTTAGTAAACTTGATTTTCCTAATCAGAAAAAAATTATGGTTCATTTGGTGACAGTTGAATGCAAGATGGCTATATATTCTATCATTATATTAGCTTAAAGTGAACTCAAGAATATGTGCATCCAAAGTCACCAAAAATTATATACATGTAAAGACTCATCTTGTTAACTTAAAGAGGCATCTGATAAATTATTCTAACTGGACTTCTTAAATCTCCATCATGGCTTTTAGTCTTCATTTTGCTAGATATTCATACATTCTTCCTGAGCCTTCCTCTTTGTCACAAATTTTATTTTGAAAAAATTTAACCCCTACTATGAAAAACTTTTGATTTAGTAAAGAGTTATGCCCCTTGGACCATTAGTTCTTTTAGAATTGGTTCAAGTCCTAGTAAACAGTATGAATTTAAATTTGTTTCATTGTTTGTAGATGTCTTTGAAGACCCATCGTAAAACTTGGAACCAGATGCAGATGGGGAGTCAGATGGAGAGCCAATGGAGGATGATGGAGGCGGGGGCCTTGTGAGTAGGAGGGGGCGTGTCTGTTATCTACATTTAATCATCTCCCCCGTCCTTTTCTTGGTGTATCAGTGCTGAGGGACAAAGTTTGTACAGGTTGTTAAGAGAAACAGAATCTTATTTTGACTATACATGGAAAAAAGGTATTAACTTGTTGAAATTTTTACTGATGTACAGTGTACATTACATGTATATTATAAGTGAAGATAACTACCTTTGCTTTGTTAATTGTACTTGATGGGTACTCATATGTAAACTGTATATAATGTAAACTGTGATATGTCATTTTGTTTTATCAATTTATTCTAACATGTAAGTGATTGGCCAGAGGAAAACATGTACAAAGCTTTATTGTAATGTTTTATTGAAATATAAAAAAAATGTAAACAATCAAAGATTTACTGCTGTGCAGATATTTTACAATGAAATGAATTTTAATGGTTTAATATATTTATCTGTGCACACAGTTCCTCTTTTTCATTCTTTGTTTAAAATCAGCTGGAAAACCACTTGGAATTGTAATGTATGTACTTAAACTGTACTTAAATATATATAAAACTACAAAAAACAATTTTGGCCTTTGTTTTTCAATTTAGCTGGTGTAGAAAACATTCCCCAATTTTATGTGCTTTTATTGAACATAAAGAGATATTTTTATTATAGTAATAAATGCAGGTTGTTTTTGTGCTCCATACATGGAGTAATGTATTGTTCCATCAGTGAAACTAGTATTTCCTAGAATTTTACGTTAGTCTAAGTAACCTGCACAATGTAGTGATAATTTGCTCTAGAGTAGTGGAATAAGAGGTTAATCCACATCATAGACTGATTCCCACTGTGGGATGTTTCATGGATCAGGAAAAATTATAATGAAGAAATGTCTGGATTTTTTTGTTTTTATTTTAAGACGACAAACAGTTTGCTCTCATGTTAAATTAAGACCATGACACGCCCTCATAAATCGGAAACTCCCAGGATTACAACATTATTCTCCATAAGAAAGATATAGACCAGACATGAATTTTTCACTTTTTCTGTTAGTGACTCTAAACTTGCATAAATGACCTTGGGACAAGGTCATAACACACCCTCCAGTCATAAGCAATCTATGTGAAAAATGAGACCCATCGACTTTATACATAGAAGGATATGGTCCAGACAGGAATTATGAATTTTTCTGTTAGCGACCTTGAACTTGCACAAATGACCTTGAGTCAGATCATGACACATCCTCAGGTCATAAGCAATCTTTGTGTGAAGTGTTAACTCACCAAGTTTATCTGCAAGAAAGATATGGACCGGGCATGAATTATAAAATTTTTCCTTCAGTGACCTTGAACTTGCTCAAATGACTTTGGGTTATCGGGTCCTGGGCTATCTTTGTGTGTAGTAGTAAATTCAAGTTTATGCAAAAGAAAGATATGGACTGGACTCAAATTATGAACTTTTTCTGTCAGTGACCTTGAACTTGCACAAATGAATTTGGGCCAAGGTCATGATACACCCTCAGGTCATTAGCAATCCTTGTATAAAATGAAAGCTCACCAAGTTTATCAATGAGAAAGATATGGACCATGTGCAGACACACATGAAATTTTTCTTTCAGTGACCTTGAACTTGGCCAAATGACCTTGGGTTAAGGTCATAATAAACCCTCAGGTCATAAACAATCTTTGTGCAAAATAGTAGATAGGAATGTTTCACTGTAAGAAAGCAGACACATTTGCACAGACAGACAGACAGATGGACAGACAGACAAACAAGGTGATTCCCGATACATGTATACCCCGCAAACTTTGATTTGCGTGGGATTTAATTATTGTTTTTAATTTTCTTATTGACTAAAGAAAAGAATTACTGTACCTATGTTATGATAAATAAAAGGAAAAAAAATGAAAAACAAGCAATTTAAATTTTTCTTATTTATTATAACTAACACAGGCTTGAACAAACTGGGCTGAATCATATACATGTATTGTATCAATCCATGAATTAAATGGAATCATTCACCATTGCTGGTAATGAAAGTGAAAATTCCTCATACAAGCATTTCTATGTTTGTAATAGCACAATTTATACATCTTGTGAAAAGAGTGAAATAAAAAATCAAATTCCAGTTTGTGTGATTTCACATTCATACACCCTCTAATGCTTATATTCTGTAGAAAACACGATTTACTAAATGAACATTTGGTAATCCTCTGTCATAACCTTATTAACATTAGAGACAGTTCTGCAAATTAAAAATAGGTTTCTTTGCTAAAATATGCACCAAACATAGCAATTTTGTTAAATCTACACTCTTTCTTGATATTTCAAATTATAAAATTAAGATTATTTCATATTTATTATTTATAAATGTATAGGATTTTAAAAAGTTTTTAAACATTGTACATTGATAAACAAAAGCAAATTCAGCAAATTAAACATGTCAATAATCAAAAGTTGAAAACAAATAACATCTTAGAGATGTGTCTGACCAAATGTGGCCAGTTGCCTTTTCAAACACCTCCTTGGTTAATAATCTTTCAGATTATATAAAGTAATCTAAATTGGGGTGTGTGTTTTCCTCATATTTTCAAAGGACGGTGTGAGATTTTGTGCAGTTCCAAATCTATGTCTCAAGTTGCATTGAGATTAAAACCCATGTAACAGAAAATTTTGCAATTCAATTTGTAACAGGATTTTATTTCACACTTGATATAAAGGGCATCCATTATTGATTCAATAAGAACACATCTTTATAATAATAAAAATGAACTTGCTCAAATGACTTTGGGTCAATGACATGACAGACCCGCGGGTCCTGGACTATCTTTGTGTGTAGTAGTAAATTCAAGTTTATGCAAAAGAAAGATATGGACTGGACTCAAATTATGAACCTTTTCTGTCAGTGACCTTGAACTTGCACAAATGAATTTGGACCAAGGTCATGATACACCCTCAGGACATTAGCAATCCTTGTATAAAATGAAAGCTCACCAAGTTTATCAATGAGAAAGATATGGACCATGTGCAGACACACATGAAATTTTTCTTTCAGTGACCTTGAACTTGGCCAAATGACCTTGGGTGAAGGTCATAATAAACCCTCAGGTCATAAACAATCTTTGTGCAAAATAGTAGATAGGAATGTTTCACTGTAAGAAAGCAGACACATTTGCACAGACAGACAGACGGATGGACAGACAGACAAACAAGGTGATTCCCGATACATGTATACCCCGCAAACTTTGGTTTGCGAGGGATTTAATTATTGTTTTTCATTTTCTTATTGACTAAAGAAAAGAATTACTGTACCTATGTTATGATAAATAAAAGGAAAAAATGAAAAACAAGCAATTTAAATTTTTCTTATTTATTATAACTAACACAGGCTTGAACAAACTGGGCTGAATCATATATTGTATCAGTCCATGAATTAAATGGAATCATTCACCATTGCTGGTAATGAAAGTGAAAATTCCTCATACAAGCATTTCTGTGTTTGTAATAGCACAATTTATACATCTTGTGAAAAGAGTGAAATAAAAAATCAAATTCCAGTTTGTGTGATTTCACATTCATACACTCTCTAATGCTTATATTCTGTAGAAAACACGATTTACTAAATGAACATTTGGTAATCCTCTGTCATAACCTTATTAACATTAGAGACAGTTCTGCAAATTAAAAATAGGTTTCTTTGCATATGCACCAAACATAGCAATTTTGTTAAATCTACACTCTTTCTTGATATTTCAAATTAGAATTAAGATTATTTCATATTTATTATTTATAAATGTATAGGATTTTAAAAAGTTTTTAAACATTGTACATTGATAAACAAAAGCAAATTCAGCAAATTAAACATGTCAATAATCAAAAGTTGAAAACAAATAACATCTTAGAGATGTGTCTGACCAAATGTGGCCAGTTGCCTTTTCAAACACCTCCTTGGTTAATAATCTTTCAGATTATATAAAGTAATCTAAATTGGGGTTTGTGTTTTCCTCATAATTTTAAAGGACGATGTGAGATTTTGTGCAGTTCCTATGTCTCAAGTTGCACTGAGATTAAAACCCATGTAATAGAAAATTTTGCAATTCAATTTGTAACAGGATTTTATTTCACACTTGATATAAAGGACATCCATTATTGATTCAATAAGAACATATCTTTATAACAATAAAAATGACTGAGACCAGATTACATCTCGATTCCCAATTTGAATGCTGCAAGATTCCCAACTTAAACATTGTACAAGTAAAATCATCAAGTAAAGATTAAAAAAAAACAAAACTACAAAATCCCCCTACCTACCCAGTAAAAAAGAAAAACAATCTTAATACATCAAACAGAAAAAAATTGATTTTTCATTAAACAATACTTCATGCTGAGATTCCAAACATGTGTATGTATGTGTCATCAACATTTTAATTACCGGTAATTAAAAATACCAATATACTAACATCCATGCTATTCCAAATTTGAACTTGACAAACTGATGTACAGTCAATTCACGAATTATCGCCATTCAATTCATCGCCATTTTCGCAATACCGCCATGATTTCCCAAGAACGTTTCTCCTGCTATATAAAATCCTCTTTATAACGCCAAATTCGCATACCGCCATCTATCCATGTTGTAAAGCATACAAAGCCAGACAAGGTACATGCAATTAAATAAGAGTTAAATAAGCAATAATTTTAAATGAACTGTATAATGATTTTGTTTTCTGTTTAATAAAAATAATTTAGTCATGGCTTCACCACGAAATACGATATTATTTTGATGATCTCTGCTATAAACAATGCAAAGTTTGCCTGACAAATAATTATACGGTATAAATTGTGAATGTTTCATTAACAATGATGCCATAAACAATGAATTTATTCAAAAAATAATTTTACGTACTGTCAGCAATATATCATGACGATCGACCCAGCATGTTTTTTTTTTTCAATATCAGACGAACAGATTTACATGCATACACATGTACTTGCATGTCTTTATTTCATTTCTGCACATTTTGTTTTAATGAAATTATACCTAAAAAATTACTTGAAGTATTTTCAAATTTAGAAATATACTTTATATATATACATGTACATAGAATTATAAGAATAGAAACGCTAAATAGTATTTCTAAGGACGAAAACTATTCTTCTTGTTTCCTAAAAGATGGGAAAATCAATTCATCGCCAAATTCGTTATACCGCCATGATTTATAAATTACAAAAGGTGGTGGTTTATCGAAAATTAACTGTTTATCAATGTTAAATTTGTTAAGTTTTGTAATTTGATATCCTGCATCATTTCTCATCAGAGATTCATAACACACTCATCTTTTACCCACAAACATAAAAAAAATGTTATGAAACTATAAGCTTTTGAAATATTTTACAAAAGAATTCAGTGTGTGGCCAGTTTTAACTAAAATGCTTGATTGCTTTTTCTTCACAGGTTGGGGGATATGTGCAATACATGTCAAAGTGGACTGGTTACATTTATCTCTAAAACAAAGTAAATAACATCAAACAGAAGAAATTCATTTACACCCATGTCATGAATTAATGCTGTAAAATGAAAGTTTCGATTCAGACACCCAAAAACATGGACGGAAACAGCTAAACCTAAAACACTTGTGAATGGCTCTAAATATTCATATACCCAGCACATAAAATATAAAACATAATATTTTAATATTTCTGAATATCAGAAACACCATATCATTTAATTACCTCCTCAAAGAAAATGCTCTCGGTTTCATGACAAACAAAAATCTAGCATCAAGAAAAATGACTTGCAACTGTTCTTTTACACATGTACAAGATAAGGTATAAACTGAAATTCTCGACTGAAAATATAAATGTATAAGGCCACTTTGTGCTCAGAAAAGCTTTGATGAATTTAACTTCAATCTATTCAACATTTTTTAGTGATGGTAGATAGTATTTTTTCGAAACCAAAAAGAATGAAAAGACAAAATAACAAGAAAAACACAATTATTAACTAAATATGTATAAACATGAAGTATGTTTTATAATTACTAAATTCTTACACAGCAGATATTCTTATTAATACCTATGAAAATTTGAAAACAAAACTGCAGACCTTCATAAAACTGAAATGTTTCCATGCTACTTTAATAAGGGGAATTACTGTCAATCACTTTCGCAAGAATGCCATTTTCACATTATTTTATGATCTAGCTATCATCTGCATTTAAAAATTCCAGCCTCACTTTACATGTATAAACATGAAAACATACCACAATAACCAAAACTTGGAAAATCACTTTAATTCACTTAAAAAGCTTGTACTTTTCATATTCATAAAACATGCATACAAAATATTGTAAGCAAGTAAAATATCTACAAGTATTTTTGAGAGATTCACTCCTATAGCACTTAATGCATCAAAACAAAATAAAAATTGGTTGAGTTTCTTTGTGTAAAAAGCATATTAACGATAATAGGAAAAGACTTGTATAATTCTAGAGCTAATTTCGTCAAACAAATCACAGAAAAAAAGGCTCTGGTGTAATATGACAAAAGTTAAAATGTCAAAGGTTGAGATTCAAGAAAAATATGTAAAAACACATGTGTATGTGTACACATAAATGTCTGCAAGTAAAATGGTAAAAATTTATAAAGGATTATCTTAATGAATTCAAAAAATAAATGATCAATCAATTATACAATGGAACTATATAAAATTAATTGTTAAAACATTGAGCAAAAAATGTAGGTCTTTTTTTCAATACAAAAATTCAAGTTAACACATTTAGCAAGTTTTTAAAAACTAAAATTCCAGAACATTTGATGTAAAATGTGCTTAATATACATTAGCCTGTTCAAAAATTGTTGTGAACAAGAAAAATAAGTACCGGTTCCTTAATGTCTTTTTAAAAAAAAATATTTACGTACATGTAAGTGCAAAATCTGGTAAAAGCATCATGCTGAAAATATATGCTCAGGATGCACACGAAATTCATTTCTGAGATAAAGAACTGCATGGTGCTGTATATGAATATAGAGAAATAACTTTAAAGGGACATGGACACAGTTTCAGCTAAAAATTTTCAAATTTATTTTTCCATTTTTACAAATAATTAACTAAGGTCTTTCTAATGATCATCAAAAATTTGAACTTTGGTTGTCGAGATACAAGACAGATTTAGAGCTCCAAACCTTTGTTATGTAAACAGGGTCTGTGTCATTTTTTTTTTTTTTCATAGATTGATATACTAATATGTTCGTTCAAAGCAGATAATTTCAATAACGAAGTTAATTCTTAATACGATTAAACAGTTCCTAGTGATTTGTTGAATTTCATTTTGTTATAAATATATTTTCTATATGTAAACAAAAACAAGACATGAGCCTTGTTTTCATTATGAAGAACTTTAAGTTCTGTATCTCATTTGTTAATCAACACATGATGTTCAAATTTTTTGCTGATTGTAAATGGTGCCTTAGTTAGAAATTGTAAACATTAAAATTTGTTTTAAAAATTTCACTTGAAACTGTGTCCATGTCCCTCTCAATTTAACTCTGGGTGCAGCTTGAGATTTGAACCAATGACCTATTAGCTACACAAAAGTAAAGCTCTTTTGTGTGTACTGTGTAAGGTCTTAAGTTCAGTACAAACTATATATGTTATTTATATAGACTACAATTTAATAAATTTAACTAGGGAATAGTCCCCACTACAATCATACAGCTGCCTCAGATAGATTTCCTCATAATGAAATACTGTCAACATTATCAGCATGTATTAATGCTATGCATGCATGCATGCTATACATGTAATACTCTCTCAAACTCAAAATATTGTATGCATAAAAAATAAGTACAAGAGCAGCAAAGTGTATGGTTCTCCATCAATATAATAATAACCTTGCTTTAATACAGTATTTCAATTAATGCTTAATAAGTTTTACACATTTGATAATCATTTGACAAAATAAGATTTAATAAGAGTTTGGCACCTTAGATGTCATGGTTTGATCATAAAATTTATTTTCTGATTGTATATTTCAGTTCTTGGAAAAAAAAATATTCATGTAAATAATTTTATTTATAAAGCCAAATAAATTAACAATGATTGTCCAACAGAATCAAACCAATGATTCTTGAAGTCAGAGCTATATGACTAGACTTTGCCAAGTATACTGATATTAAGGAAAGTACATGTATATTGGTGTTTCTAAAACTTGCTTGCAACCTAATCAGAAAATGATATGAGTTAAGTCTACAATGTAAGTGCAGCAAATGACCAGACTTTTATTGTCCAATGTAAATGTTTACCAGACATCAGTGATTATAAATGAAAGGTTCCTTTACTTTGAAAATACATGAATGAGAGGCCAGTAAAAAGAAATTGGGATAAAACAGACATATATATTTAAAAGAAAAAACACATAGCTTTAGCAACTACATGTATATAAATACATAAAATCATATTTAAAAACATATGCTGTGTTCATGTCCACTTTCATATAATTTGTGTTTCATGATAAGAAAATGATAACAATAACTTGAACCTCACACAAAAACAAGCATGATTTTCTGCTAAAAATAAGCTTATACTAAAAAAAACCCACTTTCTACCATGTGTATCCACTTTTAGAGAGTTATCTATTGATTTACCCATTCAGTCTCTAACAATGATCTTATGGGAAAAAATTCAGCAAGCAAACACTCTTTGGATAAATAACCAGAAGTCTCTGTTGAGACTGAAGCTCTACTGGTTTGTACTTATAGCAACGGGAGAGAAAAATACTTAAGCAGTTGGGAATTGGAACTTTAGAACAGCAATAAATAGAATAATGATCCTTGATTAAGTCTCTTTAAGTTTTTAGTAACCACGGCAACACCGTTCATTGAAATCAAAAACCAATATACAGAATTATGTATCTTAGTGTAGTCTACATGTGTGCCAAGTTATATTGAAATCAGACCAAAACTGTAGAAGGAGTAGCGTTTTGAAAGAATTTCACAGAAATTTCTATTTTTAGTAACCACGGCAACACCGTTCATCGAAATCAAAAACCGATAAAAAGAATTATGTATCTTAGTGTAGTCTACTTGTGTGCCAAGTTATATTGAAATCAGACCAAAACTGTAGGAGGAGTAGTGTTTTGAAAGAATTTCACAGAAATTTCTATTTTAGTAACCACGGCAACACCGTTCATTGAAATCAAAAACCGATATATAGAATTATGTATCTTAGAGTAGTCTACTTGTGTGCCAAGTTATATTGAAATCAGACCAAAACTGTAGGAGGAGTAGCATTTTGAAAGAACTTCACAGAAATTTCTATTTTTAGTAACCACGGCAACATCGTTCATCTCAAAAACCGATACACTCTTAGTGTAGTCTACTTGTGTGCCAAGTTATACTGAAATCAGACCAAAACTGTAGCAGGAGTAGCGTTTTGAAAGAATTTCACTGAAATTTCTATTTTTAGTAACCACGGCAACACCGTTCATCGAAATCAAAAACCGATACACAGAATTATGTATCTTATAGTAGTCTACTTGTGTGCCAAGTTATATTGAAATCACACCAAAACTGTAGTAGGAGTAGTGTTTTGAAAGAATTTCACAGAAATTTCTATTTTTAGTAACCACGGCAACACCGTTCATCGAAATCAAAAACCGATACACAGAATTATGTATCTTAGTGTAGTCTACATGTATGCCAAGTTATATTGAAATCAGACCAAAACTGTAGGAGGAGTAGCATTTTGAAAAATGGCCACATTACTATCGCATAATCTGACCAGTAGAGCTAAAAACAAACAAACAAAAAAATCTCTTTAAATGCATTAAAGAAAACCCCCAAACTTACGAACTAACAGCACTCTTCATAGTTTACTCTCTGCCTTTTCTAAAATGTCATCGAAGTTGACTTTCTCAGGTCTTTCTGGTATGGCACAACTCGTATCTCGATCCCGAGTAACATACTCGTCATTTATCTCGTCAGAATTATGACCCGAGTCATTATCAGATTTTAAGAATGCTGCGGTGGACTGGGTATGGCCACCTGTTTCTATAATTATGTTCTTTGAGGTAGGTCCTTCAAACTTAAAGAATCCCAGTTTTCTGGCGAGAGCCACCCCTGGAATGCATAGAACCGAGGAAAGGACTAGTAGAGCAGCCGTAGCTCCTCCCCACCAGGGGTACGTCTCAGGAACCATGATATACTGCAAATAGACACATCATATAGCAATTGAAAGTAAGAGGCTTTGTTTTGTGTATGAATTTATATTTACATTTCCAATGTCTTTGTCCGAGATAAAATTACAAATAGTAAATGTACTTTATTTCTACATGAATGTACTGGTTCATCAATAGGCGCAATTAAAAACCAGAAGTCTCTGTCAAGACTGAAGCTCTACTGGTTTGTACTTATAGCAAAGGAAGAGAAAAGTTCTTAAGCAGTTGGGAATTGAAACTTTACCACAGCAATAAAAAGAATAATGATCCTTGATTAAGTCTCTTTATGTTCTTAGTGTAGTCTACTTGCATGCCACATTATATTATAATCAGACTTAAACTGTATTTGGAGTAGCATTTTGAGAGTTTTTAACAGAAATTTCTATTTTTAGTTACCACGGCAACACCGTTCATTGAAATCAAAAACCGATAAATAGAATTATGTATCTTAGTGTAGTCTACTTGTGTGCCAAGTTATATTGAAATCAGACCAAAACTGTAGGAGGAATAGCATTTTGAAAGAATTTCACAGAAATTTCTATTTTTATGTTCATTGAAATCAAAAACCGATACATAGAATTATGTATCTTAGTGTAGTCTACTTGTGTGCCAAGTTATATTGAAATCGGACCAAAACTGTAGGAGGAGTAGCATTTTGAAAGAATTTCACAGAAATTTCTATTTTTAGTAACCACGGCAACACCGTTCATTGAAATCAAAAACCGATACACAGAATTGTGTATCTTAGTGTAGTCTACTTGTGTGCCAAGTTATATTGAAATCAGACCAAAACTGTAGGAGGAGTAGCATTTTGAAAAATTGTTTAGCTAAATGCAACTATCGCATAAGCTCTTCTGGTCTCTGACCAGTAGAGCTAAAAATCGCATGCAGGGCGGGACAAATAGCTAGAAAGAAGCAGGGCTTGTAGCACGTGGATTGGAGGAATAAAGAGCACGTAAATATAAGGAATACCTGTCAGATTTTTCGATTTCATGAAGATGATCAATCGATTGGCTTGCATGATAATTTTATAAATAAACGCCTTTGGCGTTTATGCAAATTATCACGCAAGCCAATCAACTGATCACATCATGAAATCGAAAAATAAGACAGTTATTCCTTAAATAAATGTACTCAAGCTCTCCAAGATACCGGTATTTTAAGTAATACATACAGATAAATTTAAAAAAAACTGTTATATTTTGTGAGCTGTGTCTTGATCTTCAGGGACCAGGATTAAACCCTTGGAAGAGAACATGGTCCCTTATCTTAACAAATAAGAATTTCCTTTACCCAGATATGCTTTATACCAAATATGGTCAAAATTGGCCCAGTGGTTCTTGATAAGAAGTTTAAAATGTGAGTCTGACAGAATGTGATCAGAAAAGATCACAAGTGCTGTCAGATCAGGTGAGCTAATAATAAAGGAGCCATGTTGGCCTTTATGTTAAAATAAAGCAGCTATAGGGCCGATATATAAATGATAAAAATAAAAGATAAAGTTACCTTTGTATAACTGTAGACATCGTAAGTGATGGGTTTTATAAATTTGCTGATTAGTGTGGCTGCTAACAGGAATGCGATGAAAAGTGGAGCAATAAACTTCCACATGATCTTCCAGTAGCGGTGTGGTTCATGTCCGATCATCTCCTTAATATCTCGGGCAAAACTGAAAAAAAAACAGTCATTCTTTGTGATTATATCTATTAGACTTTGATAAAACTCAATTTCTGAATGAAAAAACTAAAAAAAAATTAACTTTATATGTGCTTTTCTTGCCTGGTTGAAAATTTGTCAATTTCATTTTAGAAATTAGAAAGAGCTGAATAATTCTACTTTGATGATGTTTCTTTCCAAGTTTTATCGACTGAATGTGAATATCTTATGTAAGAAGTATTATAAGAACACATTACTTGTCCACTCCGTACACCCAGCCAATTCCAAAGCTTTCCACCAGAGCTACAGTGATCAGGGGGAAGGATCCACCAAAGGAGTCAAACAATCCCACCCAATAGGATCCGCTCCCCAAAACAAACAACACCCCAATCATCATACTGACAAGGCATAATGTCCCTATAAAAGACAATGGGTCAAAACTTTTTGTAATAAGGTATTTGATATTTTATAAATGATCATCAGGTGTCATTTAATTACCAGTATGTATTCTGCCAATTTAAACCCATTTCACAGTATTCATTTATTTTAATTCATCAATTGTTTTCAATACACATGTACTTCAAAAATCTCATAGTTTTTGGATGAAATGTGAACAATGCTGATTTCTAAATAATATATAGCTTGAAAAACTTTTGTTTAGATAATTTTCCTAACTGCAATAAATTGAAATTTAGTTCCGTCTAATAAGAACTTACCAGAAACCAACCATTTCTTCCTGAAAATTGGATGTTTTAAATCATACAGAGATGCAGTAACACCCTCTAGTGTACCAAATTCACTGCCAAATCCAAGGGAGAGAAGCATAAGGAAGAAGATGATGGACCAGAAAGGAGCAGACGACCCAAACTCATTGATAGCCTCAGTAAATACAATGAAGGCCAAGCCTGTTCCTTGAGCAGCCTGCAATATAACAAAAGTAAATTCTAAGTTTGATGAAGTCTTTCTTTATATAATTTACATCCCTTTCAGTTAACCAGTTTACTGATCAAAGGCTGAATGAATCAAGTTGCCAGTTTGATTCCTAGCAGTTTTATATTAGGAAATTGCTTGTATCTTTGGACAATGCAATGAATCTACATTGTCCAGTACCACATGCAATTTTTTCTTGAATGATTTATTTCATGAAAAGAATGACACTAGATGACGACTTGTATCCCTTTTTAACTGCATTTACTGAGGCGCTTACATTATCAAGATCGTCACTGAGACTACATTTTGTCAGATTTAAAGCGGACATCACTGTTTTATTAGCCTGGAATTCCTGGATGTAGATATCTTCAGTCAATGTTGTAGTGTTCCATTGTGGGTAGAAGTTAGAGATGGCCTCTATGTTTCTGTATAAATTAAAAAATCATGTTCAGACTTAATGCTGGAGTTATTCCCCTTACAATATAAAGCTACACCATTATCATTTTTTCCATCATTCACTTGTGCATGCAATGTTCATGTTAGGTCATACACAATGATACCCATTACTTACTCTGTTCATTCTCCAACCCAATTAACAGACAATTAAACAGTCTGTGCAATTACTCCTACAATGGAAAAATGCATGACTTTTCCCCAAAAAATGTGAGCAATTACTATCAGAAGACCTTGTGAACATTGTCCAACTTTCAGCACATAAAATAAAGAATACGACTAACCTAAAAACACATTTGTCGTACATCACAGTGGCCTTGAACCCCAGCACCGAGAAGATGACCACCGAAGCCAGAATGGCGGTGAACCAGTTTACAATGGACACTATAATGGCGTCCTTTTCACAGTTGTTTTTCTTTGGGTTGTAACTGGAGAAACCAATCATGCCTCCAAAGCCCAGCCCAAACGAATAGAAGATCTGAGTGGCTGCGTCCAACCAGACTTGTGGATCCTCCAAACGGTCAAGCTGTGGAGAAAAAAGGGATACAACAATACATAAACAGTAGAAAACATCTAAGTATTGTACAAGTGAAATGACCCCATACTATTAATTGACATATATTAACACAAGACATCTACTGTAGAAGCAGAAATATCCTTGGGAATTAAATGTTTATTTCGTTGTTAACAATAATTAACGAAAATAAATCCCAAACAAAATTTTTCTATCACTATATTTTGCATTGGTTAAATTTTGTAACAAGGAAATTTTATGGCCACCATTTTTTTTGTTTAGATAAATCAACAAAATCTAATGCCCACTAAAATTTTTTTTTCTTATTAAGTATATTGTTTTTATATTTGTCTTATCCATCAAGTTGGAATGAAGCTTGCTGTAGATAAAATAGGGATACAACAATAGAAACCAATGACACAGTATCGAGTAAATTTTCATATCTAGCTATTACATTGTGATGGTTCAGGCCTGGATATCGATCGGCCCGAGTAGCTCAGTCGGTAGAGAGCACTTGACTAGTGATGCAGGGGTCCCAGGTTTGATTCCCGGTCCAACCATACATCTTCTCCTTTCCTAGAGAAAAAGTATGGCCAGATTTAGGAATTAACATTTTCTTCTTTCCTGTTATAACATAAGGAGACTTAGAATGACCCCATGCTATTAGGTGACATATAAAAAATAATGTTCCTAATATGATAATATGTTGTTAGATAATAGGAGATATTAAGGCAGTGATTAATTTTTTATGATAATTGGCTGAATAAATGAAAAAGAGTCATGAGCAAAAAACCCAAACATATGTTACTATATGTATCAAAGTTTATAAAATATGTTGCTTATTTGAATAGAAAAAACATTTACACACCAAATCTACATTAAGTACATAACAACCTCGCACAAAGTTGTATTAACAAAATATCTCCAAGAGCAGACTAAACTTTTTAGCTCTAACACTTGGCCATAAATCTGTAGATAAGAGAGACATTGAACTTTGCAAAATTCCAGCATTTTTTTATTTTATCAGAATAAGTGCAAAATTGGTTCACTGCAAATCTATCGATGTACGTGAGAGACATGAATGGTCACAGAATAAAACCAAAAAATGCATTAAATCACTTAAATGTCCCTGTACTGTAGTACTTAAAATTTAGAGCCATCGAAAAAAAAATTGGGAAACTGCAGAATAAACAAAGAGAAGTCATTTTTAAAAAATCAATTTTGTAGTCCATGTAATAGAAGCACAACAGATACAACTTCATGAATCTGCAATGTTTTTGAAATTTATATAAAACAAACCCAGAAGTATCTGAGAACTTTCAACAATGACATATCCTGCAATCCCCCAAACAGGTTTTTCATCAATATTGATATATATATATATACCAGGTAATTGAATCAGAGGTTGTGCTCTATGTAAAATATTGAAAAATAGCTTAGATTTTGGAACTTTTTAAGGAAATGGGAATAATGATCAAGGCAATTCCTGATGCTATAATGTTTTGTCTTACACAGAAATTCATTTCATGTACTTCATTTTTAATAGAAATGCAGTCACCAAGGAGCCAATGATATTTATTATTTAATACATTGTTTACTTCATCATCATGACAGCTTACCAAATTACACTTGTATCACCTAGGTTGGAACAATTTACACTTTTTGATAAATCACTTTCATTTGTGGTTTATAAAGGGTAAATCCCTAAACCCAGGTTTTAAAGTATAATTTTGGAATCTAATATGTTAATTCCTAAAATTCTGAAAGTCTACTATCAAGAATTTGATCATTTTTCACACAATTACAGTCTCTAAAAGACAGTAGCTCTACTGCAAGAAATATAAAATGTGGCTCAATTGCTTCTTTACATTTTAGGTATGTGTCTTATTTATATTGAGTACACAAAAAGAACACTATAAATTAGAACAAAATATGAAAGTGCTCTCAGGGATTTATATTTTCAGGTATACAACTGAACTTTAGCAGTTCAAACACTGCTGTCTTGAATATCATGATATCTCAACTGATTTTAAGGTCTTTTCTTGCATGTATTTCAACCTTTTAAAATCTCATATCGTTGGATACTTTGTCCCATTCAATCAGTTTGAAATAAAAAGACTGCATGTTCATTTTTTGATATCTCTTTTTAGAAGTGAACATTGTGGTTTTATGAAGTTAAATGTCCATTCCAACCATTTTGTACATATATGGTTTTCCCATTTGTCAAATTTGTATATAAATAAATTAATTCATATCAGGTAATGATATAATATACTCATTGCATATAATTATATAAATTTCCATAATGGCATAAGGAGTAGTATTTCACAAAACAATGTTTACAGATGTAACAGGAAAGGAGAAAATGTATGGCTGGACCGGGAATCAAACCCGGGACCCCTGAATCACTAGTCAGGTGCTCTTCCAACTGAGCTATCCAGGCCGATATCCATGACCCAAACCATTACATTCCTCCCTCCTTAAATGGTCTTCGCCCTCGAAGACACAACCCAAGTTCTTATTGCCCCTGGCAGGACTTTCACCTGCAATTCCAGGGGTGGTCAACAGCACCAAATCTGTAACAGGAAAGGAGAAAAAGTATGGCTGGACCAGGAATCAAACCAGGGACCCCTGCATCACTAGTCAGGTGCTCTTCCAACTGAGCTATCCAGGCCAATATCCATGGCCCAAACCATTACACAAATTAGGAGACAGAACACAAAGAAAGTAAAAAAAAAAATTATGAATGGGTCTGTGCAGTACAGAATTCAAATTTTCATTTAATTATGCATTGCACTTCACAAACTTTTTAAATGAATCTTAATCAAATGCACAGGCGACTTCACTGAGAACATCATTATTGACCCTTTGACTGAGGAATGACCTTTTGTGACCTCTGATTTTGTATGAGAGCACTTGTCATTTAAATCTAAATTTTAATCGATACAAAAAACTATATCAGTGTCTCTGTATCAGACAGTATCTGAATTAATTAATGAAATTTAACTAGATAATAATTAAACAGTTTGTAGCAACAGGTATTAACTGAATACATTGCCATTCTTTTGATTTATTACATTTTTCTGTGAACCCCAAGCCCTAGATTAACAAATTAAGATTCTGCATCCAATGAAAGAAATCAAATAGAATTTCATTTATAAACATTTCAAATGCCCTCCAATTAAGGACTTAATTTTTGCAGCCTTTATTTGATTGAAAATAAATGATAACTGTATTTGCATACATTTGGGATTAAAAGTTAAAAACAAATTATAATAAAATTTGATGCTCAGTTTCATATTTGTGCATGTCGGTCCATGCACACTGTACTTGCATGACTAACTTAGTCGAGGAATTAATGAGAGATTTCATATTATTTTTCTGTTCAAAGATTAATTTGATATTTGATAATTATTGACAATAAACATTTAGTAAAATTCAAAGATGTATCAAAAAAGTATAGTGTACATATGACATTGCAACAAGGTTGTGTTCGAATTCGTTTCTCAAGGACACTATATGCAAGACATGTACATGGCACAATTGGTGACATTTCATGTAAAATCTCTTTAGGAGACCATTTATCCTTGACCTATCTGCACTTAATGGTCCTTCAATGAACAGTATTGCTGACTCAGAGCTGTAAAGTGCTGCTGATCTGCAGAATCAAATGTCCTTGACTTTGATGCACGACATTAGTGCTAAGGCACTTCACATATTACAAGTGCTCTAATTCTTACAAGAAAAAGAAATATGAGGTGTAGGAGAAAACCCTTGCTGCAAATTATATAACTGCACTGTTAACCAAACATCGATTTTTCTCAAAAAGCTGAGTCTGCATACACAAATGATTCCCTTGTTGTCACTTTAGATCCATTAAATGTGAATAATTAACAAGCATTTTACAGACATCATAAACTCTTCTTAAAGTGTTGACAAGAATTACAGCTGACTTCAATAAATGGTTCATGATGGTCTTCTCCAAGAATTAAGTGTGCAGATGACTTAAAGTACCTAATGCAGGTGATATATAGGGGTGACTCCAAATGGCAACAGATAAAGTATCCTCAACATCTCTGAAGAAACTCTTCTAAAGACAGCTGATTCAGAAAGGCTTCCTTTTGGATAACCATTGACATTTACATGTTAATTGTGTCACATTGTGTCTTTAGAAGATGACATTTTAAGTGCTTTACCAGTGCATTTAGAAAATTGCCTCATTATTCAAGTAAAATTACATTTCCATTTGGTACATTTTTTTTCTTCATAAATTTCAACTTTTGACAGAAGGAATTTTTATTTTGGGATCACCCATTAAGGTATGCATGTATATAGTACAGTTCTCTCAAAAGCAAAATGAAATTAAAATTAAATTTGAAAACTTTCTCAGCTATAGGTTTGGATTGTCAAAGATTGTTCTGAACACTATGTAATGTCTGTTATATTGTCTCACTGAAAGCAGCAGTCTCTGATGAAACTGCAGCTCTACTGGTTCATAATGGAAGAAGTCAAAGAGAAAAGTTGCAACAAAATTTCAAAATATTTAGTTTCATATATAGAATAATTTACTTTCACCCCTTGCAAGAAAGTTGGAGCAGATATAGTGACATACTTGTGGGAAGATGTGTGGGTGTGAGTGAATGTGTGCTGTGCGTAACATGTACCAGTATCTTGGTGTCTGATAGGAAGATCATGGCCACAAATTTAACTTCAAAGTACTGATTGGATGGGAAAAGAACAGTTGCTACCTATTTATATCAATTTAAGTTTGTTGTGGCTGGGGATCAATCTAACAACCAATTACAGAGGATGTGTTTTACCCAATGAGCTTCTGCAATGGTTAAATTCACATCTTCATCTTGTGTAAATATAATATTGATCAAAAAATTATATGAATGCATGTCAAATTAGTTATGCATGTACTCGACAAATGAAAATTGATGTTCATGTTAACTATCTTTTTTCCATAAGTATGATGATTATACATGCATAGTGAATGGGTGTGTTTACTT